AACCATAATAACTATACAAGAAATATATATAATAGGTTCCTTGTAAATACAGAAATACTTCTTGTACTCTGCCTTTAAGAATTCTTAATTGAGAAGTAAAATATATAACACTGAGTCTGCCCATGACGCACTATTATTACAGCAACAACCCGCCACTTAATTTCACCGTCAATTCTCACGTCTGGAAATAGAATAATACTTTTCACCCACCCTCTGGTTCCCCCTCAGGTAAACACCATCAGTTTGTACTGTTAGCGCTTTCAGCACCGTTAGCAATACAATCTCGTATTATGCACCTTCAAAGAAAGTCATCTAAAAAGAAAAAAAAGAGGAAGAGAACAGTGAAGTAAAATTCTAAAAAAAGTCCATTTAGCAATTATCAGCTAAAGTAATGCAACAATATCTAACACAACACCAATGCAGAATTGTATAGATTAGTGATATTTGTGATATTTACTGTACAATATAAATACAATGAGCTCGGATTGACAACGTTCACAAAGGTTATATTGTTCAGTTATTTGCTGAATCGGCTTTAATTTTGGTTATTTTGGGGGCTGTAGTTTGTGGCGCTTTTTCATTGCAATGTGTTTTAATGAAAGGTTATAATATTTACTGTGGTCTACCTTCATTGATATAAACTTGATAAACTCTCTGAGTAACACACCACATGTCAACATATCCACATTCAATTCCAGCCTTCAAAATGAAGTTTTTTAATTCAGCCTTTATTTAACCTGGTTTGTCCCAGGACAACCTCGACCTGTCCAAGAAAAGCAGCGGCATCGACTCATCATAACATAAACAGAAGGTAGGATTCATTGCCGAGCTGTTGAAGAGGTTAATGTCACAGCCATAATCGTATACTTTAAGCTTGCCATATGTGGTAGAGTAGTGTCTCAGGTCAGATTAATTGGAGACTTTAAATTCCCTTCAGGGGTGAAAGTGAGCGTAAATGTGTTTGTCTGTCTTTATTTTGGCTCTATAAAGAACTGGCAACCCCGTCCAGGGAGCTTGCTGCCTCTCACCCGGTCCGTGCTGGGATGGGTTCCAGCCGCCGGTGACCCTGAACAGGTTCCAGCAGTTGCAGAAGATGGATGGTTGTCTTGGCTGCAGGTGGGGAGTCGTTTTCTGATCGGCTAAATGAGCCTTTTGTCAGCAGGGTGAGCTGTGACTTTGACCTCTGGTTGTCAACACAAATTTGGCTTCTGTTATGCAGAGCAGGTTGTTTCAATCTAGAGGAGTCGACTGTCTTTTAAAATGTGGACTGTGGGATGTGCGGTGCTTAATGCAGTAAAACATTTAGATGCCAGTGTGATAATCACAGTGGAGGCCCTGAACACTGGCCTGTTGCATTTAATCGACACTGTTGGAAAAGATTTGGTTAACTGAGACATTTTAGCTCTGGAGCTGTTCTGCCTTTCAGTCGTTGAGCCCTTTTGCCAGTTTATGATCATTATAGCTATGTGAAAGGTGGCCTGCCATACAGACACGTGCACTTCTGTTATATTTTGTTAATAAAGGGAATGCTTTCCTCTTTGGTTCCTGATATTATCATGTATCATGAGCTACCCCAGAGGATTCCAAAACGTCTATACAACCAGAGGAGTCGCCCCCTGATGGACAGTAGAGAGAATGCAGCTTTAAGGCACTTCAGCGTTGCCTTCACATTTTACACCTGGAATATGCCGCCTTCTTTGTACTGATCAAATTCTACATTCTTCAGAAACCACTGACAGATAAATATTCTCTGATGTGTGTGAATTACATACAAATTAAAGGCTCTTCATAGAAGTTTGGTTGAGTCCAGGAGAGTAAACATCAACAGTATGTTCGGGACTATAGGCCGCGTTAGAGCATTTCCCCCACAATCCCGTAAACCAGGGGTCTCAAACTCATTTTCACTCCGGGACACATCAGCATCATGGTCGCCCACAAAGGGTCGGTTGTAAATGTAACTAATCCTAACATGTTGTTAAATAACTCTCTGCATTTGATTATTGTTTATTCAAGTGTAAAAATATTGTACATGCAGTTATATAAATGCAAAAATATATTGAAGCACATTTCTGTTATTATAACTTAAATCCTTTTAATTTAGGGTTAAGAAACCACATTACTCTATCAACCTATTAAAGAAAATATCAAAGACAAATATCAAACAAGTTATTACAATAACTTTGTTCAATGCTTAAAATCCTTTCAAGGGTGCGTTTTTCATGTATTTCATGTGTTTTAAAGCCACGTTTAAAGTCGTCTTCAATGTACTCACAATACATTTCCATGTCAAATGTACAGTAACCAGCCAAAGAGCTGCTTCTATGACTGTGTGTTTAAGTATCTCATCATTTTGACTTTCAATCTCATCATTTTGATTTTCTATCAGAATTATGACTTTCTATCATAGTTATGACTTTCTATCTCATAATGTCGTCTATGGGGATATTTTTATTATCAAGTCTAACTTAAAAAAAAACAAAAAAACTTTTTCTTTTTTTTTTTTGCTGGCGGATTCGCGGGCCACATAAAATGACGTGGCGGGCCGGAATCGGCCCGCGGGCCGGGAGTTTGAGACCCCTGCCGTAAACCAACCAGTATTTGTCAGCTGGAATAAAACCGTCCACCAGGTTTGCTGTATGTCAGTTAGTTTGCGTTATTCACTGAAATATTAAAGAGATCCTGAATGCCTCTCATGTGAATACTCTTCTACACTGCTATTTTGACCAGGATCAGACGTCCTGGTTAAATAAAAAAAATAATAACATACGTTTTGACAGTGGCCCAGCCATAGAACCCTTACATTTTAAGGATGCATATTACCAAACAAATGTGTAATTATTTAAAGTATGACAAAGTAATTGGCTCACAGAAAACCTGAGGCCTTCGGGGCAAGTTGTCCACTTTGCCCGGCTGGTAATCCAGCTTTGGATCTGTGTTGTACAAATGTGCCTCTGGCCTTTAGAGTTCTTTAAGAAAACCCGAATCACTGTGGTTCACTGTTGTTTCCTTTGTGTATAGTATGGAGCATTGTCAACAACATGGTACATGGTACAAAGTATCACCCTGGAGAGGCAACAACCGGCAAATGTTTGGCGTTTAGTGACTCAAACTTCTGATTGCTGAGCAAAACAACTTTATGTCGAAGACCTCGACTCACTTGCTATGACACAACCTTGTCTGACATTATGTACCGCACACTCCTCTGACAGGCACGGAATACCTTTTGAGAAATAACCATAAATAAACTCCCCCATTCGTCACACGGCCCCGGCCATATGGTCTAAATCTGCACTACAAAAGGCTCGACAGCGCACGTGACGACGGGGACGCTATACGAAAAGATTCAGAACCGTTCAGCTCCGTCCGGGACGACGCAGGCTGTTTTCACAGTCGGCTAAGAATATGCCTGACCCACACACTCGAGAATAAAAAAAAAAAAAGAAAAATTGTTTTGGATTGCGCCTCTTGCCATAAGCCACATTATGTAAGTGCTAAGTGTGAGGTATCAAGAGGAGTTGGCGCCTTGCCACGATGGTGCGTTTGTGTTTGTTTGTGGGGGCAGGTGTTGAAAATATCTTGTGTGAATAGTTCCTCTGAGAGTATCAACACACAGTGCAATAACTTACATGCTGATGCGGTGATAGCGTGCTGAGAAGCATGATGGAGGTTCTACTGTACGAACCTCTACTCGCTGTGACAAACGTTGGCATATTTCCAAGTACAACGTAAAATATCTTTTGCTGCATTTCATCTATACACTGCAAAGTAATATTTGGGCTTTTTTTTCAGGGTTGTTATGACGCCATCAGAGAGTTTTCGTGGAATGTAAATAAATGCTGACAAATTTACGATTAATATATATATATTTTGGTTCTTGTATTAGTTTTATATTCTGCATCTTTCGTGATCCCTTCTGGAAATAAGGTGGGTCAAAATGTGCACTACTTTAAGACGTACTTTTAGAACTACTAAGACATAAAATGCTCTGCTGTTGACTAATAATTTGTGTCTAATATAATTTTGCCACATTAAAGTTCAGTTATCTTAAAGGGACGTCTACTCCTTCCTCATTAAAAATCAGTCGTCACTGAGCATGCAAATGCTTTACATTCGGACACAAGATGCCCCTTTCTTCCATTTAAAACTCCACTCTGTGTTTGGTGCACTGGAGGCCTCACGTTTCCACGTCACACACTGGACCGCGATTGGCTTAAACCCACCTGTGACGTCACAAATCCTGCTCGCATACCACGCGTCTTAAACTTGAGATTTGAGGCGAGCGCAGAGAAACTTCCCTCGTCAAAGGCACGCGTCACTCTTCAAGGTCGAAGCGGAAACATCCAATCAACGCGTTTGAATCGTTAGTACATATATTATTGATAATGTTTTTGCTTGGCCATTTAATGTCAGGAGAGTGACACGTTTTCACGTTTGAAATCGTAAAAGTCGTGGCGATAAATGTGGTGTATTCGGGCTTCATGTGTCACAACGTTCAGCTTATACACACACCTTACTTATTAATAAGACGACTGGACAGCAGAGACAAAACAAGACTACAATCAATCATCTTCTGATCCGAGTGCAGTCAAGACTGCCCATCAAGGCAGGAAGTGTGAACTCTGTAGCACTTCCTGATCTTTCAAAACCTTTGACATCTGTCCTTACAGCAGGTTGACCTGACGTCTCCTTATAATAACAACTATGAATATGAATGAGGATGTGTCAGTAATATTATTGGACGTGTTAGACCTGAGTGTAGCAGAAACATTGATTCATCGCCGTCCATCTGCAGTACTTTACTGCACGCGTACCCATGTTTCGGACCACGGGGGTCGACCAAGTGTTGCACATAGAAGAGATGCTATTAAATGTGCTGCAAAGATGCAGCAGGAGAGGAGTGGATGTTTCCCCACATATTCAGAAAGAATTACCGTCTCTCTCTCTCTCCCCGGTTGTTCTCATCCTCACTGTCACACACACACGGACTGCAGGCTACATACCTTTGGAAGACGTCCACATCCCGGAGGTCCTCTGAGCTCGGAGATGATCACGTAGTCCTCTTGAGTGGAAAAAAAAGAATACTTTGTGCTCCAAGCGGACAGGAGAGGAAGTTGCTCGCAAACCCCCCCCACCCAACCTCATCCGATGAGTTTCCGCAACAGAGTCGTTTTTTTGCTATAGCTTTCCATCTGCGTCCGTGTAAAGGGATATTGTCATTTTTGAGGTGGTTTAAATGAAGCTGGGGGGGAACTCAAGGCTCCAAGCCTGTCCGTAGAAAAACCTGGCGGGGAAAAGTCATTTATCCAGCCATTTATTTATATGTTTTTAACTCTGTTTCCTGTGCTTAGCTCTCATAGTGGGTCAACGACACAAGGCTTTTTCTTTGTGTTTGGGGAAAAAAAGAAACATATTTGTGTAGATGTCATAGAAATAACTGTAGCGCTGGTTTATTTGATGACTGCTATGTCTTTGTCAATGAGCTTTTTAAGTGTTGGATCACTCGCAAAAGTTTGTTATCTGTCTCGGGCTTTTTTCCTTTATTGGAGTCCAATTTTTATTGGCAGCGCATAAGAGAGGTTATTAATATCCTTAGTTTGCTCTCTCTTCGAGGAAGTTACTCCAGCATTCTTCAGCTAAGTGGTCAGAGGAGGACTAATGTATTGCCATTTGCATGACCTACAGTTTCTGTCTCTGAAATAAAAACCAGCGCAAAATTCTACATTAGTGCAAACATTTATTTATTTTATTTTAAATGTATTGCATAACAGCAAAAAAAAACAAAAAAAACACGATCATCCCTACCCTTCCTGTTATTGACAGATGGAACTCATAAAGTGCGAATGCATAGCCTGTCTTGTCTGGACTTTGAGTTTTTGTGTCAGATTCGGAAGGTTTAGCCGACTAACGAATCATCAAATATTGATCATAATTGTTCCTAAAGCTTGTGCAGAGCTTTTTTGGGGAGAAACTAGTCTGAGATGGAGAGAATGAAACCTGCCAATTGGTGACCTGTGTGTGTGTGCGTTTGTGCGTGTGTGTGTGGGTCTCAGGCGCGTGCGTAAAACTTGTGTTTGGACCACCTGCTGTTGGGCATACGGTATCTTTATAGGGCGTTTTCTTTTTTTAAGGAAAAAAAGAGGGGGGGGGGGGGGGGGTAAAGACTCTACTTGTAATCACACGTCAGTCTGAATGGACTTTGAGTTCGTACTGTTTCTCCTGCCTATGTCTGTGCCGTTTCCTTTACTGGGGCTCTTGTCCAGCCCGCAAAGCGACTCCGTCACCCCCTCCTCCATCTCCATGTACTCCGCCTTATCGCCCAGCGAGGAGCCCGTAGGCGAGCCTTTAAACTTCCGTAAAAAGTCCGGGAAATACGGGCAGCCCGGCGGCAAGCTCTCCACCACCGCCGGCGCCTGGTCGTCGTTGTCGGTCTCCCTGTGGTAAAAGTAGTTGAAGTTGGACACGATGACCGGCACCGGGAGCGCGATGGTCAGCACGCCCGCGATCGCGCAGAGCGAGCCCACGATCTTCCCGCCGACGGTGATGGGCTTCATGTCGCCGTAGCCCACCGTGGTCATGGTCACCACGGCCCACCAGAAGGCGTCGGGGATGCTCGTGAACTGCGAGGTGGGCTCGTCCGCCTCGGCGAAGTACACCGCGCTGGAGAACAGGATGACGCCGATGACGAGGAAGAAGATGAGGAGGGCCAGCTCCCGCATGCTGGCGCGCAGGGTGTGACCCAGGATCTGCAGCCCCTTGGAGTGCCGGGACAGCTTGAAGATGCGGAACACCCGCACGAGGCGGATTATTCTCAGGATGGCGAAGCTCATCGCCTGCTGCCCGTTGTCTTGGTGCTGCGCCAGGTCCGTGCCGAGAGTTATGAAATAAGGCAAAATGGATACAACGTCTATTGAGTTCATAATGTTTTTAAAGAAAGCCGTCTTGCTGGGACACGCGAAGAAGCGGACTACAAACTCAAAGGAGAACCAGATGATGCAGACCGTCTCCACGAGGAAAAACGGGTCGTTGAAAGGAGTGAACCCGTGGTCCGGCTGCGTGGAGTTGACTCGTGTCTGTAGGTACTCCTTCTCGTCCCTGAACTCCGGCAGCGTCTCCATGCAGAAGATGACAATAGAAATCACTATGACCAGCACGGACACCACCGCTATCCCCCTGGCGGGGGTCGAGCTCTCCGGGTACTCGAAGAGCAGCCAGATCTGGCGCTTGAACTCGTCCTCCGGCAGAGGCTTCTCCTCCTCTTTCACGAAGCCCTCGTCCTCCCGAAACTTCAGGATCGCCTCGTCCCCGAGTTCGTAAAACTTCACCTCTTCGGAGAAGATGTCGAACGGCACGTTCGCGGGTCTTTTCAACCGCCCGCCCGACTGGTAATAGTAGAGAATGGCGTCGAAACTCGGCCGGTTCCGGTCGAAGAAGTACTCGTTCCTCAGCGGGTCGAAGTACCTGATTCGCTTGTCGGGGTCCCCCAGGAGAGTGTCCGGGAACTGCGCGAGAGTCTTGAACTGAGTTTCAAACTTCAGACCCGACACGTTGATGACGACTCTCTCGCAGCAGCCGCACTCGCTGTAAACGTTCTCGTATCCGGAATGCGGGCGCCGGTCGGTGAGCGAGGCGGTCTCCTCCTCATCATCCATGTTACACAGAAAACTCGACCTCTTGCTTCCCCGGTACTCCTCCTCCTCCCCCTCCTCCTCCGCCTCCTCCTCTGCCTCCTCCTCTTCCTCGGCTCCCTCGGCCTCCTCCTCTATCATCATGTCCTCCTCGGATCCGAGCAGTGCCAGCTCCGAGTGGCGCAGGTCCCCGCCGAGAGTCGTCCGGCTGCGTCTCCAGCGTCCGACGCCGCGCTGCTTTTTCCGCTCTCTGAGAACTCTGTGCTGCTGCTCGGGCTCCTGCTGGTGCTGCGAGGAGGAGGAGGAGGAGGAGGAGGTGGAGGAGGAGGGGCGCGAGGCGGTACCGCTGCTGCTGATGTTGGCGTTCGCGGAGGAGGAGGCGGCGCGAGACTGATGCTGGCGGTTGTTGAGGAGATGAGCGCTCGAGGAGGAGGTGGAGGTGGAACCCGCGCAGCCGCCGCCTTCTTCCGCACCGGACCCACCTTCGGCAGCGGCCGCTGCAGCCGCTGCAGCCGCCGCCGCCGCCGCCGCTCGCGACTGGGCAGCCTGGCGCTCCCGTGCGCGAGCGTGGGCATATCCGTAAGGCAGTTGACTATTGCACCCGTTGTCCGCACCTACCATGGCAAACTCCATTTTTCTTTTTTTACACAGTCAATGAGCGGGTTCGGTCCGCGAGCGCTACAGGAACCGCCTCGGGGCGACGTGGATGCAGGCCAGCCGATAAAAGTTGCAGCTCGGCGCGCGCAGAGAGAGAAAATGAGGCATGAACCGGTTCGACCAATCAGTTGTGAATATGAGAACGTCAGAACAACAAACACACCTCAATTAGGTCCATGCTGAGAGCAGTCCACGAGGCGACTCATACGTGACAGGAGACATCGATCAGCCTGTCTTCCCGTGTCGGCACACAGGCCCCTGATATTTCATGACATCATTACCATAAACAAAACACAAAAAAACGTGAGGGCCGGTGGCATGTAGCCTGTTACGCAGGCGCTCTGTGTCAAACTCGCAGCGCCCCTTCTATTTGTTGAGCATTATAAATCACCGAGTCAACAAGCTACAACCGAAACAGTCTGTGCTCGCGTCCTCCGGTGCCCATCAGGTGGTTAATTTCTCCACGGCCGCGGCTGGCGCCCGAATGCGTCTTTTGATCCTCCCGTGGTCACTCCTGGTTGCCATTTTATGTGATGAGATTCAAGAAAATGAAAAAAAAAATAAAAATAACAACAACTGGATCCTTGCTGTTATATTGTGGAGCTCCGGTGAATGTGAAAGACTTTTATTCCGCTGACGCTCTCTGCGAGAGAAAGACAAGAAAAACAGCAGTTGGTTTCGGCCACAAAGAGAAAAACATTCATATTGATGCCCGTTGTTTTGGGCGACTGTAAAGAAAAGGCATCTTTTGCAACATAAGGGCGGTACAACTTCATTTGCATATTATTATTATTATAATTATTATTAGTATTGAGTGGACGTGGGGGTAAAGGCTCGGATAACAAACGCGTGGCAGACGTTTATGTTTAGAACAGACATTACGCATGAAACTCCCTGCCCTTTAAATATAGCCTCCCTTCATTCTGACATTCATATACTTACATGTGAAAAGGAGCCAAACGACATCGCCTCAGCCCCCCTACAAACAAATCTGCTCCAGGAGGAGGAGGAGGGGAGCTAGGCTAGGTGAGGATGCAGTTCTTCGCTCCTGCCCAAATTCCCGTCTTGATTTGGGGGGGTAATATCACAAATCCCTCGTCGTATCCAACCAGCGGCCACATCATCCACTATATCCATCCGTGCTCTGACGCACTCCCGTGGAGGACACTTTTCTTTTTTTTGTCTTTTTTGGGGGGCTGCGGTCTCGACGTCTTGCCTCAATTCAACAGGATCTATCGCCACTTCAGCCCCCGTTTCTGCTGCAGCGCTCCTGGTCCGCTGGCAGCAATTATCATTGAAGAAGACAGACCCCAAAAAAAGAAAAGGAGGGAAACAGAAGCAGGTGTGCGAGCGGCGGCGTTAGGGCATCAATGACAGCTCATGCGCGGTCACGGCGAAGAGACGCGACGGCGGTAAAAGTTTAGCCTCGCGCGGGCGAGGGACAACGGCCCCGCGGCTGAGTCTGAGCATCGCACATCTGTCTGTCTGCCGCTGTAGCCCTACCTATACTCCGGTATCCCTCCCTATTGTGTGTGTGTGTGTGTGCGCGTGTGTGTGATGGTGGTGATGATGATGGAGAGCATCGGTGAGAAAGTCGTTCGTGTACCGCAGCGCACGCAGGCGGTGCTCGGTCCTCCCCCAGTGGACGCAGCCGGTCACTGCGCGCACCGTGACTGCAGTCACACCCGAGCCTGCTCTGCCCTTCATCACCACTGCTGGTGGCAACCGGTGTCTCCCCCACCCCCCACACACACATACACACACAAAGTAATCCATTACTCTCCATTCATTCCTCAAGTAACGTCGATACCTGCAGATTGTAAAACGGTGCTACTTGCAGGTCGAGTTAAATCCATCCTCCTGAGACAATTGAAGTCTTTGTTTTGCCTTTATTATTCTAGAAGAAGACAATATATACTGAAGACCTTTTTCTATATTTTGTCTTCATCAAGTATAACCCACACGACCAGACATCCATAAAAAGATGTGACCCTAATCTGCACAAGTTTGTGTCCAAAAATAGTTTACATTCCAAAATGTGCATATTTAAAGCATTCGAAATACTTGATTCTAATAGTATTTGGGATTTCTTTTTGGCTCCAGTCCTATCAATTCATATTTCTTTGACACCCCCTGAAATAAGATGTTTCGTTGTGTTTTGAAAACATTCAAACATCTTATCACATCTGCAATTTAGCCTGTGAGTAAACAGGACAACTAAACATAATGAATGTGTTTCTTTCACTCCTTTGATATTTGAATAAGTAGACAGAGCACTTAAATGTGAATGCCAACCATTTTAGAAGTGAATTCATTCATGCGTTTGTTATCTTCTTACTGCGCCCCAGAAGGGTTTAGTCGATAGAAATCATAAAGAAAAACTGCTGCTCAGACAAGTAATGAGCTGTTACATTACAACACAATACAACTTTAGTGTCTGCCGTAGTGGAGGTTTGCTTTGGACAAATCCTCAGCAGTGTAAAACATTATAAAACATGATCCAAGACATGAGACAGACAAACAAGTGTTACTGATACGCAAACTACATCTCTAGAAGATTCTGCTTAAAAATGCCCAAAGCAAACAGAATGCACGCTAGCCTTTCAAACGAGATTCAATGTCATAAGTAGAATACAATCATCAGAACAATACAGCATTCAGGCTCCCTCATGTGGCTTAAAAGTGTACTGCAGACTAAAATGACATAAAAGACAATGGAGTATATTCTGCAAATATATCTGGGCACGCTGATAATGGCATCATCAGGTCCCTGTAAAAACCTCATCAGCAGAGACAACAACGTGTTTGTGTCAGCTGAAAAAACATTAGATGCTTTCAGACGGTCTAATTTGAACCATATAATGTCCGTACACAAATGATGTACTGTATAATGTCTGGTCTTCTTCTCACCTCAAACTATGTTGTAATAGAAACAGAACACTTTACTCTCTTGAGTTCTTTATATTTCACTTGAACCAATTGGACCTTTTGAGAGTGTGAAGGCTGGAACTCAACAAGCAGTCGAACAAAAGACCGTGCTCATTAATTAGTGAAACAATGCACTATTATTGAAAAAGCAATTACCTGTGCATTACTTTCTGTGAGTAAGGAGTATTGAAAACCACAGACAAGTCACAGTATTGAATATCATGGGGATTTGTCATTAATGTGGTCACTTGTTTATACAGTAGGTTTGTGGAAATAAAGGAAGGTTGTTTTACTTCACACAATAAGCAATATGATGATTAGTGACCAAACAACTACAGACTTTTACCATAACGACAAGTAAAGCAGAGATGTATAACAGAACTGTCAGTAAAAAATGAGAAATAATACGTTATATTATTGAGTAATATTACATTTGCTTCATAATTTTTTTAGCTTGGAAAGTGGCCGCCGTATTCGTAAAGCTTCTTCGTAAAAAGAGTTGCTCCTTGTGAAGAAATGATGTGAACATTTCTTAGAATTATGAAGTTTATCAGAATTTCCCCGAAGTTTTAAGAGTTTCTTTAAGCAGAGGAGAAAATGGTGGAAAGACAAAAAGGTAAGAAAAATGTTTATGAAACGCTATAGATTAGATCGTGCCAAAAACTAAATTGATTACTAAGATATTTGGCAACTGGGAAAAAAACGCAAAAGTGTCCACTGGTTTATAGATTTCAATGTCGACCAAAGCTAAACCATTTATCCCGCTAATATAAAATAAACTAAGAATCACAATTACCAGCATGGTTAATATAACACAGCTAGCGCCGCCGATGCTCATCAGCTCATTTTCTACCATTTTCTAACCAGCGTCACAATAAAGCATGGTGGAGTTAGCTAGCTACCTAGCTCGTTTTAGTCGTTACTGTAAAACCTCACCTCAGTGAGTCTTGCTGTAAGTCGGTTTAGTTTAGGAAGTTCGTCTGCTACAACGGTCGCAAAAGGACACATGAAAATGGCCGCCACTCTGCTACGTTGATTTGAATGTGAATCTCTCTTCTACTGCTCTATTTCTATGTGCTGTCGCTTCCTCTCTCTTTCCTAAATAACCGTCTAAGCTTTAACTTTTTGCTAGAAATGTTCAGGCTAATTTAGGAGCTCCTCTGAGAGTATTCTTAGAATTCTTGTGCCTACGCCTCCAGATGTTTGTGCTGCTGGTCTTTCCATGAGCATCAAAAGTGCACATGGCCTTTAAAAACGTCTTCTTTTCTTTTTTAAAACAGACATTTCAGCACTTGGCGAGGTGACTGTTGAGTCACTGTTATTGATCAACCAACCTTTTGCCACCACAGATTTATTTGGATCACTTTTTGCGCTATGGGACAGTAAAAGTCTCATTCATTGCAGGTTTAATTTGATTGTGCAGATAATTGGTTTTTCTGCAGGTACCACCGCAGGGCCTGGTGCCGGGACACAGCGATCTGTAGCTAAAGCCCAATTCAGTCCGTTTGACTGCAAAACTCTAATTAGGACGAGAGCAGCCTGCCGCTCCAGAGCAGATAAGCTGATGCATCATTCCTCTAAGGAATCCTAATCATTCCCTCAGGTCTTTTTGAAATCTCTAGTTGTAATATTCCTGTCGGGATATTTTTGGTTCGCCTGTGCGGTCTCTAAATCACTGTGCTTCTTTTTAATAAATCTGAAACAAAATATAAAATCCAATGCGGAGGCTTGTGAACTAATCAGTACCGCTGACAGTGCAACTATCACCCAGTGATTTATTTTGAAAGAGCTCTCTCTGTACTTTAAACTTAGCTAAGACATTAGAGGAGCTCTTCTCCAGTCTGCACAACGTGTGCTCGTCATGCACACTCACCACTTGCACTTCACTGGGCATCCACCTCAGTCAGCACCAGGGGGAGTTGTGAGGTCAGTTATGATGAGAGGTGATAGGGTGAGGATGAAGGGCGCCTTACTACACACAAGTTTAGATGCACTTTGAACTGATGCCAGAGCTGCAACATGGCTGCTCCTGTCGACAAAACCCTGCTGCATCTTACTGAAACATACACAGGGAACAAATACCAAAAGCGCATTTAGCACATTCAGCGTTTGAATTCGAAAGATGTAGTCAAGTGGGGCATCATTCTAATGCTCATCCTGTTTGCCAGAACATGCATTTGTGCCTTGTGTTTATTGTTAAAATACAGAATTTTTAACTCAAGAAAACGACAAACCTTGCATTCAAAAGTAATTATGACTATTGTCAAAAATTAGTTTCCTTTATGTCATTTTTACAGGAACGCCATTCAAAACGGATGAAGTGCAGAAAAGATGGAGACATTTGTTAGTAAAGTGTAAGAAGAATTGCATAATACTGCATGAAAAAAAGTAATTCTGCTCTTCAGTTCACATAGGGCTGAGCAATTTGTTCAGCATCATGATATCGTAATGAATTTGTCCGGTATTAATAGAGTATGTGTGCAAATATGAAATAACCCAATTTAAAGACTAACTAAAATGCCTTTGCTGAACTCGAGTCTCACCTTGCTGCAGTGATCTACAGGTGTACTCCAGGACGCCGTGACATCACTATTGGGCGTGGTTACACAACTCTGTCACCTAAAAATTTACATTCTCGATAAGATTAAACTGCATTCAATATTTGAGGGAAACGTAATTTGACAAAAATGTTATGTTTTGTAAAAGATCATGTTGTGGCTTAAAATATGTCAGTTTGTTAGGTTACTGAAGTTGTGTATAATGTATAACGTTTAACGCAAAGTTTCATCTCACACGGGACACAAACAGCGGTCGCCTAGGTGAAAGTCCTGTGTTTGGACTCGTCCATCCGACCGAAGCTCCTCACTGCGCACATTTTTTTGTGATACGTCGAAAACAAAAAAGAAGTCCGGTGAAAGTTCAGATTGTCTGATAAGTAAATAATCTGCCAGAATTGTTAAGTGACTCGTCGAAAATGCCTCATGCGGTTGGGGTTGTGTTGAGAAAAATCTGTATTTTGTTGTTAAATCCTGGCTTACAGCCCTGAAAAACACAGTTAAAAAGACCACAGCAAGTTAAACACGGTCAGTTGATTACTCACATTAAGACAATTATTTTCTGTATTACAAGTTTTCTCAAGTTGCATGTTTAAATATGCAAATGAGGCATTATCTAAAGCTAACCTTTGGTGAATTTAGGAGAAATAAATTCACAAAGTGTAGTAAAATAAACAGCAAAATGTGTATTTTTGGATGTTTTCTTTCCACTAGTCTGAAAAGACATTTTATGGGAGAGAAAAAATAGCATAAATTCTCAAAATTGATCATTGTAAACAATGTTTTTGCCTGTTACGTGTATCCCCTTTAAGTACTGTATGTTCTGAATTGTGTGGTCATGAGATGATTTGACAAACACAGCAAGTGATACAACTGGAATGAGGTTGGACACAAACGGAGAAAGTAGAGAACAGAAGACGGTAAGGAATCATCACCGTCCACCTTCCACCTACATCCACACACAGAAACATTCAGCGCAGCCACCAAACAAAAGTCCCGTCCTTGGCAGCGCTGTGGAGGCGTTTTGTTTAGACCTGATGGGAGGAGGCCGGCAACGTGAGCGCAAGGTGAGGCGGTGCGTTCAGGGCCGCGGCGAGTGTCTTCTTGCATGCGGTGTCCGTTTCTGTTCTGTGCAACGATGGAGGAGGCGAGGCTCTGCAGAGATAGTCCGTCCTTGGTCCGTGTTTACGGTGTGTGAAGAGGGGGGGGGAGAAGCTCAAAATCAATGACCCATGACTTAAATCTGTGCACAATGTGCGGGCCGAAGTGGTTTTATGTGCGGCTTCTTATGAAGCTTGTTTAAGCTCTTACACCCAAATTTTTTTTTTTTTTCTAGCAGTGCTTAGAGTTGTGAAGCAGAAAATCATCCTTGGCACTGACACCTTCACGTCGTCCATCACTTTTCAAATTGACTCCCAGTGGAGATTAATGTGACATGAAGATGCTCACCAGAATGCCTCCTTTAGTGCTGTTTTCTTTAAACTTGCAGCAACACAAATTCACTATTTATAGGAATTTGAACATAAAAGTCCTACTTGTCCTTTCCAGATTCCAGGCTCACAGTGATTACGGTGTTTCATAAGTAACGTGCTTCTATTATTAACTTAATAAATACATTTTGAGTGCAGATCCGCTCATTCTAAGAGGAATTACCTGCTGCTGTAGTCAGAAAATGACTAATGATGCGGTCTGCTGTGAATACAAGATAAATCAGCAGGACTGGTGTTCATTAAAGAAATGCAGGCTAATAATGATGTAGTTCAGCTAAAGGAAGGAGCGCCTTAGAGGACGAGGGTGGCGCTCTGTGAGAGTCCTCGTCAGGGTAAGGTGGCGGTTCGGCAGGATGCTGGAGAGAGTCCCCGGTGGCTGCAAGGTCAGACAGTCGGATGAACCGTGGCCGCTGCCCAAGTTCTTACATTGTACGGTCTCTGCAGAGCGTCCTGCTCGTGGAGCAGTGCTAACTGTTCACTGAATGCAGCAGAGAACACAAAAACAGAAAATACTGAGTACATTCACTCCAGGGCTGCACTTATGTTCACTTTTTAAGGTACTTGTACTATACTGGAGTATTGTACATTACTTTATACTTAAAGTAGATTCTGACAATTAGAGTTACACTTTAACCAACATTAAAATACATTAGTGGTAATGATCCAGTACAGTATACAAGATAATATGACACTTCTAAGAGCTGGAGTACTTTTATTTTTAATACTTTAAGTACACTTTGCTGATTACTTGTACTTTAATGCAGAGCTCTTTACCTGTTGATAATCATGATTCAGCACAAAATTGCTACTTTTTTTGTAAATTATTTGGAAACGTCTGAATCCAAGTGACTAAAATTACACATCATTAATAATCCTTTGAGGAAATGTTGAAGTCGTAGATTGAATGCAGATTGAGAGTGCTGACGAGGTTCCCTGCAGTTTTAGGATCATGCACAGAAGAATACTTGACAGTTGCATCCCATAGTGATGTGAATAAAATAGACCCCCTGACAGTCTTACAGTATCTTGATATGGTGACGAATGACTGTACCAACATATCCAATGTGTCGGTCTCATCTTTCAACAAACAAAAAGCAATGCCAGAATGATTTGAAGTTACGTACAAAATAGCATCTTTATGGTTTGAGGAATAAAACTCCTTTCATCCTCAAAAGTCATTCATATATTCTGCCATTAATACATTGCAAATTTGAAGATGGAGCACGGCAAGTGACGGCACTGATGCTGCTACCAGGGTTTTCCATCTCACTGTGGGGGCAGATTTGTTTTTATTTTTCTGTGGTCCATCTAATCCTTTCACTCGTGTAATCCAAACAAGATGTCTGCAGATAGCGACTCCCTCCTCCATCGAGTGGAACGAAAAGGCCTTGAGCGGCGGGCAATCCCCGAACTGTTGAAGGAAAGATGTGCTGTTCAGTCTGAACAGGTGGGGAAAAATAGCACCGAGCCCAAGGTTGAATATATTAAAGGGGTTTATGAGCAGCACTATTTAAGCAGCGGTGAGGACAGCCACGGGTTGACGGCTGGTACAGATGTTGAGAGAGTAACAGAAGAAACAAGACAAGGTTTGAAGCAACAACGGAGCTCTACAGGTACGCAAACTGATTAATACGTTTTATTATACTTTCCTTTTCTGTGAAAACAATGCTTTGAGCACCGCAAACACAATTACATTAGAATTGGTTTGGACGAATATAGCCTTGACAAATAAAAAGCAGATTTATGAAAATGGAAAGATATACTTCAGGTGAACCAACCCTTTAATTTCTGATAGAAAGTCTACAGGGGATGATTCATTTATATATATATATATATATATATATATATATATATATATATATATAT